GAGAAACACTGTTGCTGAAATGCTATGGCATTTTGACATAAAATATGCTGAGAGATTCCAGAAACTTGCTTTATGGTTAAAAAAAAAAAAAAAGAAGAAAGAACAAAAGCAAGCCCCATTTCCATTAGCCTTTTATTTCCTGCTAATTGTTCAGTACTCCTTCCAGTTTGAAGCATGAAGCACCACGGCTGGCTCATCTCCTGCCTACCCAGCTTTGTAGGTTACCTGGGGTGCGGTGCAGGAGGAAGGGGGAAAGGGAATGATGGAATGCGGTGCAGATGATGCTCATTAATTTTGGAAGAAGATATAAAAAGTAAGCATTAAAGTCTATCCTAAATACAAGGATTCAGCTGACTGAGAGCTCATCTGCTTCTATCTCTTGGCTAATCGTGAAGGCACTTCTGCTGTGTCACTTCAAAGGCTCAGCACAGCTGGGAGGGTTTTCATCAAAGCTTCTACATGTCTGGGGGAGGTTTCCCCCCCATGAATATACATCACTGGAGGCTCATTTTCCCAACTTTTCCCATGCCTCTCTCTGATTGATCCTCATTTCATTCAGATGAGTTCTTTCTCTCTGGATGGCTAAAGGGCAAGAGACAGCTCTCTCCAAAGCTTTCCCACTTGCCTGATGCCTCTCTGAAGCTTTTCCTCCCATCAGAGTGGGGGAGGGAGGGAGCTGTTCAGACAAGAGATTGAGCCTTTAAATTAAATTCTTGTCATCCAAGGGCTGGGCCTGATAGCAGCGGGGGTGGGAAGCATTTTCTCCCAGTATCGAGATTCTGGCTGGATCCTCATCTGGTGTAAATGTGTATCAGTGGACCGACCTCAGCAGTCATGCAGTCTGAACTCTGACCCTTAAAACACTTCCCCTCTGTAGCAGCTGGATGAAATCAGCATCATTCCCTGTGCTCTGCAGAGTACGTGAGCTCCACAGCCAAGGAACACTTGCTATTCCACCTCTTTTGCTCAGTTCCACCTCTTTTTCAGTGGGGAGGGAGGGCTGGGCAGCCTGGTGGAATTTCAAACACTCAGCCACCCTCAGCCAGGCTGGATTTCACAATAGCCCAGGCCCTGGGTGCACGCAGCACGTGAAAAGTGCTGGTGGAAACGCGGGCCCCTCTCCTAAGCTCAGAAGTGAGCTCAGCCCTCCTGGAAATTCTGGGCCTGGTGCCATGCAGTTACAGCACGTCTCCTGGCTGGTGGCCAGGCCAGGAAGCCCAAACCTCACCCCGGCTTTTCCACCCTCCACTCTCTCGTTGCTTATTCCCTGGGGCCAAAATGACCCCAGTAATCGGCAGGTCAAGACAGTGCTGGAGCAACTAGAAACACTCCCTTATACCACTGATAGAGGAACTCAAATTGAGTGATACTACGTTGTTGGTGATGCCTTTTTAAAGAAATATTACAAATCTCCTCTGCAGTAACCGATGGAAATGAGACAGACTTAAGAGGGCACCATCTGGTTGGTCCTCTCTTGCTCCAGTGGCAACCACAGAATATGGGGACATCCCAAGGGCAGCAGGGCAGCAGAGCAAGCATGGACCATCCACCAGCAAGTCTTACAAGCAGAGCCTGCCTGTGTCCTTACAGCAGGGAACATCCTCTCTTAGCTCAGAGTCCCACCAGCCTGGAGCTCTGACAGGGAGATCTAATAAAGTCCCTAAGGACACGTCAACCTCCTGGGGACTCTTCCACCGCCACGATGTCTGTTGGCACCTCCAAATCCTGTCCATCATATTCAGTTCCAGACTGCTGCCCTCCCCTTCACAGCAAGAGGCTCTCTGGAAAGGCATACAGAACCCACTCAGTTGTGTTGCTCCTGCATGGGACTGGGATGTTCCTTCTCCCAGACCATGATGGGATTTTCCCTTATCCATCCCCTAAATGGGTAATTGGATCTTGAATAGTGTACCACTTCTTTCACTGGGATGTGTGGTTGCATCTACTTTGACACAAGCCCCTTTCCGAACTGCAAGTTGGCAACAATAAAAAGAAGTCTTTAATTAGTTATCTGGCTAATTAACTTTTACAGCACTGTATAGCTTTGGCATCCAAATACTACAATGCAAAACATTGCAAACATTCAAACAAATGCTGCCCTCCCTGCCAGGAAGTGCAGCTGCCGCTACAAGTGGTTGCAGAACAGCATCTCGCTGCCTCAGCATGGAAATCCACCTCTGGGCACCCTACACACCCCCTTGAGCAGTAATTCACCTAATGTTGATGTCCACATTAAAGACAGAGTACATACATAGCTTCCCAATGTCGTGTGTTCCCTTCCCAGCGTGTGCATTCACTCCACCATTGAGTGAAATCCACCAAAGACAAAATGTGTTTCCTGGTTGAAAGGAGTATGTAGAGATCCCTGCATCCCCTGTCCAGAAAGAGGAAGAAGAGCCTCATAACAATGGCCAATGCACTGCATCCTGCAGTCCTGAGCCCACAGAGAAACCCCCAAATTAGGCAGGGTGGCATGGCACACAGTACAGAAATGCTCTCAAGGCATCTGAAGCCTGTGGGATGATCCCCGAGAGCATAGTTTGGCTTAGAGAATACAACAGACAGGTTGCTAGAAATAAGTCACTCTCTCTGTTGGAACACGCAGGGTCCCCACCGCTTTTCCCACGCTGATCGGTGAGAGGTGGGGGTTTCGAGAGGCACGGTGCCCCCAGGAGGTTCCCGTGTTGTTGTATCTGCACTGCGGGCTAGCAATCATTTGACTCTGTGCATTGGAGTTTCACCGTTACTGCAAGTCCAGGCAAGCTCCTTGACTGCCTTCAGCATGAATAAAAAGGTGCTGTAAAGGGGAGGGGACAGATTTCAAGAAACATGAGAAAAGCATAAAACCCTGCAGTGACTTGAGTCCACTGCCTGAACAGTGCCATCTTACACTGCTGCCCTGCTGCTTGGGGTGGGGGCACAAAGACAGGACGAGTCCATGATTTCAGTCTGGGACCCAAAATAAGTCTGCTCTGTTGCAGTTCCGGCTTTACCTGAGATCCATATAACTACTGCATTTAATTCACTTGTGGTAGAAAACCAGGTGGCAGGTTTGTGGCCCTGCTGGAGAAGCAAGTGGTTGACTTTCTGGTGATGCAGCCAGCTGCCTGTGAAGGATAGCAGCAGGGGAATTTTGGCAAGGCAGCACGATGTTTGCACACCACATGGCTGCATGCAGAAAGCAGGTCACAGGGAAGGTGAAAATGAAGTCACTTTGGAGCCACAGCATGAGCAACTACTCCTGCATCAGGGGCAAGGCTGTTCCGACATCCCTTAAACATGCACACAGGAGACTCTTTTCATTATTTGTTTGCTGTGAACAAATTAGCAAACTCTCGGGAGGGAGTGGGCTCATCCCAATGAGAGCAGGGTTTTTGCCTTACTCAGCAGGGGCTTCTCCTGCTGAGGAAAAAAATCTCTGCAGATTTGCACCTGTTTCACAACAAAGTAGCCGGGGACAGGGCAAGTACAATGGTCCACGCCACTGTCATGGGACAAGAGATGAAGAGAAGGTCTTTCCCTTTGGAAAAGGGAAAGACATGCATCAAACCTGTCCTCCCCAAAAGAGAGGAAGATCTGAACCTGGAAGTGACAGTGATGCCTGTAAAGGCCCCTGCTCATCTGTCTGAGCTGCAGTCAGGACAGCTGTTCACCTGCACACAGCAGCACCCATTCCACCTGACTGCAGCGTTAGTGGTAATGAGGTTGGTAAGGGAGGAGGGTCTGCTGACTGGTGACTGCACACTGCTTGTGTAGGTATGAAACAGCTGGAAATGCTGCACTCTCTTGGCAAGCACCCTTATTACCTACCAAAGCACAATGGCCTAATGAAGCTGTGACACAAATCCAGTATTTTACACCCTGTTGGGATTAACAGGGTCCAGGTGTCTTTGTGGGATTACTGTACCATGCAGAAGCAGACTTTGAGGTGCATACATTCTTTAATTGTGAGCCTTGTATCTGGAACTGCATCAGTTATAGCTGCTGTGTGTGCTTTGGCGACCCTGAGTTCCTTGAAAAATCCCAAACCAGAAATAAAAATAAAGAATTTGTAGCATTTGTATGGAAAATATGGTATGTCGTTTGTTTTGTTTTTCATTTTAAATATTTCCAGGCTTGGTTTAAAAACCAAATGAAGACTGTTCTTTTTTTCTTGGTGACAAGTTGCTGAGATGCCTGTCTGGGTCAAGGGGACACTGCTGTATTTTATTTGGCATCACTCAGCTCTGCCGACTTTTTAACCCTCTCATTACCAATAGCAATTTGTTCTTTTTCAGCAGAAAAAGGAAAACATTTTCCCCACCAACTCAGGCTTCCCAAGGCCCCAACCAACTTGGCCCTGAATGCCTCCAGGGATGGGGCATCCACATCCTCTCTTGGCAGCAGTGCCGGCACCTTATCGCCCTCTTAGTAAATAATGTCTTCCTAAACATCTGATCGAAATCTCCCCTCCTTTAGTTTAAAGCCATTCCTACTTGTCCTGTCACTATCAGAGCGTGTAAAAAGTTGGTCCCCCATTATAGTCTCCCTTCAGTACTAGGAAGCCACAGTGAGGTCTCCCTGCAGCCTTCTCTTCTCCAAGCTGAACAGACCCAACTCCCTCAGCCTTTCTTCATAGGAGAGGTGCTCCTACCCTCATATCATTGTCACAGCCCTCTTTTGGACCCATTCCAACATCTCTGCATCCTTCCTGTGCTTGGAGTCTGGACACAAAACCAAGCAGAAAATACCTAATCCTTCCTGCAAATTGTGGTCAACTGAAATGTTCTTTAACTTTTAGTTATGGATCATTATGGTTTGGTTTCCCATGGTGCCACTCAGACCAGAGATGCCTTATTAAGTGTTGCTTACACGTGGGCTTTTTCTCACCTGGATCTCAGCACGCAGCACACAGCACCCTGCCAGGACCAGTGCGCGGGTGGGGCAGGGCAGGAAGGAGTGGCATGACAGCACTTTCTGCCGGCCAGTCCCCCCAGCAGTTTCACAAAGCCACACCACAGCATGCAGTGACCGCGCCGCAGCACGCTTCCTGCACTGCCCCTCCTCAGGAAGGGATGGGGCAGGAAAGGTTACTCAGACAGGGTTTGCCCTCGTAGTCTGAATCATGTAGCGCGGACAGGCCAGAGGCGGCAAAACAATGTGTTCCTCAGCTGCCAGCTGTACGCAGAGGCCCAGGCACAGCGCACTGAGGAGGGACAACCCCTGTCCCAAAGCATGGACATGACTGAGTAGGCCAGTGGGAGAATGCGGGATTTGCGCAGTGATGGATGCACCAATGCATCACTAACCCAGACCCTGCAGCAGCCGCATGGTCGCTATGTGCAAACCGCCAGGCTCCCAGCAGCGCACTGACGGCTGCAGCAGCGTTCTACCCCACACATCCCTGTAGATGTGGCTCTGCGTACCGTGCAGGTAAGGCGGAGCGGGGGGGTCAACGCCCAGTGGCACGGGACGGCCAATCGCACTACACAGAGTGTGGCGCGCACACGGCGTCCACCCGGAAGTAGGTTCCGGAAGTAGGAGTGGGTTCCGGTAGTCTGTTCCGGAAGTACCCGCGGCCGGAGCGCGGCTCATCTCTCCGGGCGGCAGCGCCTCCTTGCGACCGGAGCTGGGAGAGCAGCGCAGAGCCCGGCCCCGCCCAACCTGGCCCTGAACGCCCTCAGAGGTGGAGCTCAGAGATGGCTAACCTCTCCGGCCAGCAGTGCGAGCGCTTCACCGTCTTCTGAGCAAAACATTTCTTGGTACCATCTAACCCAAACCTCCCTCTTTTAGTTGATGCCACTCCCCTTTGTCCTGTTCACCCTGGTTCAGAGCAAAATCCAAACATGGAGCATCCCAGCTCCGCACTCTGCTTTCCGCGCGGCGTCATTCTGTATCTTGTAGAACATACTCTTGGCCTGATAAAATACACTGAGAGAATACACCTTGGCTTCTCGTAAGTATGAGGCTGACATAACTTCACATAGTTCTGCTAACAGATTTCTATACCTTCTAGGTTATTATCAGGTATCTCATGCAGTAAAACGTTGTTTGATTTCTATAAATATTTGACAGCCACACAGGTAAATTCCAAAGGTCACTTTTTACGAGGTGCCTCAGAGGAAAGGGCTCATGCCATGTTCCGTTCTCATGTAGCCCATTCCAGAGATCAACTCTGTTACACTGGAGGGCATTGTGCTGCAATCTTTGCAGCATTTCTGCTTTCATCCTAAGCAGTCTCACCTCTGCTCCCTCTTCAGTTCGATGAGTAGTGCCACGCATGGGCTGCACAAGGAAGTGAAGCTGTGCACATGCGTGTCAGTAATTAACCACATATTCCTCCACCATCTATACAACTTAATACAGGAAAACAATACGATGACAAGGTAGCAAGGAAAGAAATAAATTTCATGTGGAAAAGTTCTGCTTCAGTATGTCTGCATGGAGAATCAGAGTGCTGGCAGTTCTCTGCTTCCTGTGGCAGCCCAGAGGTACGTCATGGCTTTGTCACTTTCGCTTTGCTGGGCTACGTGGCTTTGCTTGGGGGACAGAAGACATAGACAACATGTTGAAAGCAGTAAGGATGGGAATGATTTTCATAAAGTAAAACATTTCACTGTAAAGAAATGGCAATTTAAAATCAAAGAATCATAGCATGGCTGAGGTTGGAGAGGACCCTAAAGACCGTCCCACTCCAACTCCCTGCTGTGGGCTAACTGCCCCCCACCAATTCAGGCTGCCCAGGGGCTCATCCATGGTCTCGGGCACCTTCAGGAATGGGGCACCCACAACCTCTTTGGGCAGCAGTGCCAGTTATCTGACTACTGAATATGTCTTGTTGAAGATTGCAATGTACGTGTTTATTTACTGGAAACAGCTGGTGCCAAAAAGTGCAAGTGGTGAGCCTGCATGCTGCATCCTGCTGTACTTGTGACATGTCTGCCTTTATGAGTTGGAAGTGGATGGGTGGAGCAACCCAGTGCCTGATCTGAGCTTCAGGATGTGAGAGAATAAGGGAGTCAGGCTGGAGTTTGTGGGGTTGTAAAACAGATCACAGGAGAATCCAGTGAAACTATGGGGGATGCTGCTCCAATTACAGAATTGGATGGCTCACACACATTGCAGTCCTAATTCTGACAGCTGTTGAGATGAAGATGTTTTGTGGTGAGGTGAGGAAAACGCAACAACATCACAGACATACCTGTTTCCTCAACTAGTTTACAGTCATAAGTGAATTGAGCTGCTGTGCCCCAAATTTTGAAACCACCTTTGTCAACAACAAGTGATATTTCCTATTTCCAAAGCAATGTTTAATAATTCACTTAATTTTCCTTTTTGATCAGGTCATGGTCAACTTCCTCCTCCTCAAAATGTTACATTACTGTCAAAGGATTTTGATATGATTTTGACATGGACTCCAGGAAAAGGATATCCACCAGATGTGTCATACACTGTGAGATATGAAAGGTGAGTGCTTACAAAAGGATCTGATGGGAAGTATGGCACAGAGCAAACATCTCTGGGTGTGCTTAATCAGAGTCATGATCAGTGATCTGACTGCTTCCTTTCACCAAAGTCAATCCTTTTCTGTCCGGAAAGCAGAAAAGCATTCTGCATGGATGTTGAATCTTTCAGTAAGATTCAGCATCCATGCAGAAAAACACTTCCTTCACTTGCCATATAAGTTATAACAAAAGATGTTTGATGTGGTGCATTTGTTTCTTGTTTTAGCAAGACACGCATGGACAAATGGATAAAGGTTCCTCATTGCAGAAACATTCACAGTATCTCTTGCAACCTCACGTGTGTGATTCCAAACTTCTTCATTAAATTCCGGGCTCAAGTAAAAGCCGCTTCTGGACGACTCCATTCGCCATGGGTAAAATCACAGTTCAAGGAGTACCATTTAGATGGTGAGTGTCTGTCAGGTACAGCCTGGCTGGAAGGACACCCCAGCAACAGTGTCTGCATGAGCAAATTAGTTAAACCAGGAAGAGAAACACGAAGCTTTATGAATGCCAGAATTGAGTGGGCACAAGCAACAGTGAGCCATGATGATTTGAAATTAAGTTTTGTGTCTGGTATCAGAATTTGTTTCATCAATGCTCTAAGTGAATGAAGCGGTTTCAAGCTCACCACAACAGAAAGACAGTATCACTGAAGTTATGTTACATTAAAAAAAATGAGATGTTCCTTTACCTTTCTGTTTCTTTTCTCTGGAAAAATAGGATCTTGAGCCCTAACAACTTCAGAGATCTTGGAAAGAAAAGCTGACCACATGTGTCCATTATTAGCATAAAATATAGCACCTCCTTCCCTCATGTCCACCACAAGATATCAGCTAGAAGTTTAGATCAGCCAAATAAAACATTAGTTCTGTGAAACTACGATGTCAGCAAGCACTATTCTTACGTCTGTCACTCAATTGTAGTGGAACTGGCTCCCCCACTGCTAAACATGAATGTAAAGGAAGACGTAATCCATGTGAGTGCCACTTTTCCTATGGCCATCTGTGTGGAGAGTTTATCTTGGATGTATGACTTCAACTTTTGGGAAGCTGGATCCGAAGACAAGGTCAGTAAAAGAAGTACTATGTAGATGAAACAGAGGAATGAAGCTGAAATGAAATAGATGCAAATATCTATGCAGGGAGTGATTGGAGGCTTGCCTAGAAAAATTGAAATGGCCAAACCAGAGTTAACTAAAGCTGGAAAAGATATGAGTGTGTTACATTCAGTACCTTCGTTTTATTGGTAGTTCCGTTTCTTACTGTATTTTTATCTATTATAGATGTGATGTTCAGAAGCAACTGAACAGTCAGAGAAAAATCCATGGTTTAGAACAGCTAGTTTGGGTGCTGCTAACAGCATAGCTGTGGCAGCAAAAAGCATAGCACAGACATAAAGAGATGCTTACTACAAATAGCAAGCAAGGCAAGTGCCTCACTATGCACCTTCCAACCACTGGTGCCATGCAAACAGGATGATGAGACTTATGGCAAAAAGGGTAGAGAAACACCATCCCAAAAATGAAAGAGTCATCTTTCTAACCCTCTGTTCCTTTTGTCTCAAAACAGAAGCAATACAAAAGTATCTTTAGGAAAAAGGCAGTGACTATCGACACCACTGCACTCAGAGGCAATTACTGCTTGAATGCCAGATCTTCCATTCAAAGCATCGACTTCAAGCACAGCAAATTCTCTCAGCCAGTGTGCATGCTGTTAAACCATAAAGGTATGATCTTCCTGAGGAAGGATGTACTAAGATATCAGATGAGGTTACAGAATGTCAAAGAATTCCATCAAAATCAGCTTCTTGGAAAAAAAAAAAAAAAAAAAGACTTTCTGTTAAATTGTTTGGATTTGGATTTTCAAGTAAAAGGTTTCTGCCTTCTATAGCAATGTTTTCATTGGAAATATCCAGTCCTAAGATATTTCCCAAAAATCCTGAATTATTATACTTGGGTTATGCTACCACTAAAGCCTTGGGAATTTTCAAATTTCTCCTGGCAGAGAGAAAAAAGAAATCAATAAAGCCTTACTTTTTACCTCCTCTAATTAAGGCACTGGCTGGTATCAACAATCATTTCTAACTTAGAGGCTGGTCTTAGGCACATCTGCCATCATTTTCTCTAGAAAAACAGGATCTCGAGCTTTAACCATTTCAGAGATCTTGGAAAGCAAAGCTGACCAAGACACAAAGGTGTGTGTTATTAGCATAAAATATACCACCTTCGTGAAATTTGTTTTTGTCTTTTTCTGTTTCACTAGGGGAATGGAAGTTCCCTTTTTCCGCCACGATCCCGGTCTGTGTCCTCCTCATCCTTCTGACAAGTGCCTCCATCATTTGGCTGCTGAAACAAGATGCAAAGCATAAGCAGATGCCTCAAGCTTTGGTATGGCCCAAATGCTGGAGTACCTTCCCGGATCGAAGTTTGGCTGATTTTCAGAGGGTATCTGGGAGGGAGTGTAAACGTTGCTTATGGTCTGCGCTTCTCAGTTCTGCATTCAGAAGTCCCCTTACAAGACAGCTTTGATTCTGGCATATCCTATATCCAAAATTTTCTTTGAAAAGCTGACCTATTTTGTGTCTTTTCTCTGATAGGATTTATCTAATTGTAAAATTGCTGGACCAACCTTTTGCTGTGAGCGCAAAGAAAATGAATTCCTCACAGACTGTCTTATCTGCACAGATAGGCCAGTGTCACAAGGGAAGAAAAACAAAACTTTAGCACAAAACAACAAACTATGGATGGCTTCCTTCCTACCATCATCATCATCAGAAGAGGAAGAGGAAGAAGACAGTAGTAGTTTCATACCATACACTGAAATGCTTCAGTTTCCAAGGAGACACTTCATCTGTCAAACATCCAGAACAGCTGACGCAGAAACTATCTTGGGCTCCACATCTGGAGGTCTCACTCTGGATGGTGGATCCGCATTTGACTTAAGTGCCCTGGGTTTCTCTTTCTTTCCCACAACAAAAAATGAGGTGGACACCTCAGGATCCCAAGGAAATGAAAAGGCATCACATTCTGACAGTTCCTCTTTGGGAAGACTATCACTCACTGATGTGAGATTCCCAGCTCCCAGGGAACATGGACAGCATGACACAGACAGCGATGACTGCCTGGAAGTGAGCATTCTTCACCTACTAGCAAACAAGAGTTGCACCAAGCTTCCAGCTGATGAACACTGTCTGTATAGGAAAGATCATGATTTTACCATATATTACCAGAAATCAACACTTGATCAGCCTGTCCAGGTCAGTGAGAACTCGCTGCTCAATGAGGATCCCACCATGGAGAAACTCATTTACTTTCAGACATCACAGGTGGCAGAAGATGAAGGTATTGCAAGTGACTGTGACAGTGATAATTGCACAGGAGGAACACCTCCTGCATCCACAGTGCTAGGTGATGCATTTAGAACTTCAGATATGGAGAAAAGATATGATAAAAAGTTTAAATTCAAAGGCTATCAGCACTCACATTACCTGAGAAGGAGCTAGAGTATACCTTGCAGTTCTGCAGCATGCCTGGAAGATGCTAGAGAGCTATACAGATCCAGGCAATGATACCTGGACAAGGACAAATAATCGATAGTGCTGTGGATTGTTTGTGTTTGTTTTTTGATGTCTTTGGTTTTGTGTTTTTTTTTAATTTATTACATACTTTTTAATTTATTAGATATTAGGTACTAGATAAGATTTTTTTTTTTCTACTGATGTCTGGTCATCAAAGATATGGCTTTGGGACACAAAAGGTATATTTTACTGCTAGGTAATGTACATTAACTGTGCCCCTGTAGGAATACAGCTGTGACAGACATTAAAACTATGACATGGGACACCATCTGAACCCAGCAGGGGCGAGGCATGCAGTGATACCTCCTGTAGGTATCACATTGCAAACACGCAGTGCCTTGTGTTCTCTTGAGATTTGCCATCAACCTACAGAGATCACCTTCTATGTTTCAGTGGAGTGAACCAAAGTCACAGTGAGAAATGTGTAGCATGTTTATTTATTTATTTTGCTTTTTATACAGATGTACTTACTGTTTTCTCCTGCTGTGCAGGATGTCTGGGAGATGCTATATGCAGAAGTAATATATTTTCATAGATAAATCCGTGTGTGTGCTTTCATATTTCGCAGATCTACAAAGAGTGGCTCAGCTATTCTTGAAAAGCAATTTAAAACAGAACTCTGTCATAGGCTTTCCATTTCTACTCTTTTTTTCCCTGAGTGGGGTTGTATGAGACTTCCCAGCCAGGTCTCCATCTGGGTCACTGAAAGAGAAGGATTGCAGCTCTCTGAGCCAAGAATCAAATCAGAAGTCCACCAAGAACAGACACAGGAGATACAGGGCGTCTCTTTGCTGGGCAATGCTGACTTCTTCAGATTATTTTTAATTTGTGCTCTTTGCATCTCATGGAAACATATTCTCCTAGGTTTCTTCCCTCTCCCCCCCCAGCCCCCCCAGTAAAAGGACATGGAGGAAAGCAATGTGTTTGAAGAAAGAGGGAGAAACAGAACTGTTTCATGTGAGGGAGGGGGTATCAATGTTAACATCTCTAAAGAACCGGAAGAACAACATCAGAAAGAGGTAGGGAGGGATATGAGGTGCTGGGGCTGCTTCAGAAGAGGAGAGCAAGGCATACTAATTAAAATCCCACCTTAAAATTAAAGAAGAAGGTGGTTAAAAATATTACTGGAGTAGAAACCTCTATTTCTTACCCATCACCCCCAAGGTATCCTTAGGTTCATCCTGTATTGAAATCCCTTCTCTTAATTTAGAAAGATACAGATCACCCAAATATAATTACCAACCAACTTCTTGTGCAATCAAGAAAATCCCCTAAGCCTTTAGTTACAGGAAGCTGAGAAGTTGAGTAACTTCTACAAAATTACTTGGATGTGTCATAACTTTCCCAAAAAGGCCTGTGATTAATTCTCTGTCTTGTCCTGGTTCTCCCAGGATGAGAGCTGGAGGGAAGGCTGCCAACCAGATGAGCCTTACTGGTGGAGGCAACATCCCACTCCTGGATGTCCTTTGCCCAGGCTTGAGACCTTCTTTCCACTGGAAAAGGATGAGGAACACCAGAGCACCTTGCTCCCTCTGTCAGTCTGTACCTTCTACCTTACCTAATGGCTGTAGCTATGCAATGAGTAAAGAAGCTCTCCCCTTTCATTGGAAGAGCTGTGATCCAGTTCACTAACAAGTCTGGCTATTGCTTAGCTGCTGAAGAAGCCTGGAGGAATTTGAGCCTTATGCAGTGGCCTAGTTAGCCCTACACATAATCAAGAACTCAGGACAGGACTTTCTCATTTTGTCAACAGTTATGTCCATGGGATAAAGTAATTCAGTGAGGTTACCCAGTCTGTGTTGAATGAGTAGTTAGTGATAAAAATTCAAAAGCAGTGCCTAAGAGAGCTTTCTAAGCTTCAAGTTAGGCTATACGTGTGAAGCTTTCTCTACCGATGATATCATAGGAAAAATAAGCAGCATGCGATAGTACCAGTTCTGGTTTTACACACTTCTGCTGGTTCTAAATCCACAGCTCTTGAAGACAGACTACTGGTTTTCACTAAAGAAGGAAATGTCTTCCCTTTTTCTGAAGAGAAGTTGAAAATGTAACTGAACAACATCCTAAAAGCCTAAGAAAGGAATGGAAAACTATGAGCTATGTCTGTTTCTTGCTTAGATTTCATATAAATGTGTAGTTTTTTATTGGATGGTATTGATGATATCCAGTATAGACCCTCATAGTGTCATTAGCCGCTAAAATTAACTGTAGGTCTACAGATGAGAAAAGCTATTTAAAAAAAAAAAAAAAAAAACAGTGGCAAGACACTCCTGCTACAGGAAAGCAGCCTCCCATCTATGTGAAAGGAAGATGCTCTGCAGCCACCCAGCAGGATGCACACCTTGGCAGACCCGATTTGTGCTCTGCCCAGTGCAGCAGGGCCACATGAGTCATTTGGCTCCCATTCACACCCACTATGAATAACAGCAGAGCTTAAAAAAAAAAAAACTACTGATCTATTTTGACTTTCATTTCAGGAAAATATCAAAAGGTATTTCCTAGGGAAATAGGTGTCTTGTTCGCAGCAGTTACAATGCCAGCTATGTGCAGAGCAGTAAGTATTCACTTCCAGAGTTTTAAAAAGTTAAAGCTATCCAACTAGAAGAGCAAGCCCCAAAACTGAAAAATGTCAACAAGGGCCTTTAGTCAAGGAGCTCTTTGTCAGGAAAATGGCATTTGGCTCTCTTTCAAGAAAAAAGACGGGGATTTTCTAAGCCTCTGGCTTGTGCACCTTTGTACAGTTACGTGTGTATACTCGGAAGGAGTGTTCCTGTTTGTCCCTTAAATACTCTCTTATGTGCTCACACATGCGTACAGATCTTTTGCTGGTGATCTCAGACGAGCACGCATGCGGGACAGCAGCTCTGCAGCCAGTTACTGAGCAACAAATCCAACCTGGCCTCACAAGCAAGAATTTAGCTGCTGTAAAAGGTGATTCACCAGCACACTGGCTCAACCGCCTGCTCTCCCAGCCCGCCTTGCACTGCTATTCATGAAGAAACTTCTGGTCGTCTTGGCTGTGTGTTCAGTGGTCGGTAAGTCCTGACTTCTATCTCTGATGGTGGTTGTTTCAGTTTGGATCTGTATTAGTGGAGGTAGTTCAGTTGTGTTTCCTGAAGTAAGACCTAGAGAATGAGCTATCATTCAAGACTGTCCAAAAGCTCTCTCCTGTGTTGCTCTTACCTTTTAACATTTTCAAAGATAAGAAAAGACTCCTTCAATCTAAAGTGTTTGCCACTGATACAATACAAGCTGAATCCCAGAAGAGCAAAGGATATTTACGGAGTTCAGTCCCTTTGTCTTGTGCAATGAGGCATGTGAACAGAAGAACCAGAAGCTCTGATTTTGAAAGAGATACAAACAAATCATGGAATCATGAAATTGGAGTTGGAGGGGACCCTTGAGGCCATCTGGTCCCTCTTTTCTGCAGCACACTGGAATGACCACTACTCCATCAGTGCTCATCCCCTGACCTGGGATGTCTACAAGCATGGGGCACGACCACCTCTCTGGGAAACCTGTGCCAGTGCTTCACTGTCTGTAGTGTAAAAAACTTCCTTCTTAGATATTGAATCTCCTCTCTTTTAGTTGAAAACCATTTCCCCTGTCCTATCACAACAGACCCAGCTAAAGGTTCTGTCCCCTTTCTTCTTATATCCCCTCCCTAAATACTGAAAGGATCTTGTCCAGGTCACCTCCATTCTGGTTATGAATTTTTGTATAGGTGAAATGTTGCTTCTTCTACCTGCTCAGCACACCACTTTTTTCCAGGGATGAAGACATTTACAAATGCCATAAGGGGGCTGCTCCTTTCCAGCAAGATCAGGCTGAAGCCCAAACTATTTCAAGGAGTTGGTTGACAGTGAAAAGCAAGAGTTAAGAATAATGTATGTGCTGTGTAACTTTGAGGACTTGCCTACAGTTCGAATTTACAGAGCTTATCAGTTCTGAAGGTTACTGTCCCAGTTAGGTTTTCTGAATCATCCTTCAGGAAATTCTGTGCTGTGTTCCCACGATGGAACAAAACCCAACTTCTCCAGGATATGTCATGTGTCGCAGGTGGATTGCTGTTCTGGTGTGCTCTATGTGCTTATCAGACACAGAAGACACTGCTGCTTAGCAAAGCCAGAACCCACTGCCCCTGGCAGGCCAAAGGCTGCAGAGAACCTGGAGAGCTGTGTGCTTTACACTGGCACACCCAGAGCAGAGTCCAGGCCCCAGGTTCTTGGCATGTCACTTTGCACAGGCAGTCTTCATCCCATAAAACATAGACTGTGGGAGGTTAGTGGCTGTCATACCCACAGCGGTGTGAAACTGATCTCAGCACATTACTTCCCTGAGTCTGGGCAGACAGCAGTGGCATTCCTAGACATGAATCTAGCCTCAAAATCAGTCTGTTCTTCATTTTCCATCCACTCAGCTGCTTTAAGAGAAACCTGATAAGACACTCCTGCATTCTCTTTTTGACTCTTAGGTTTTGAAGCCCATTCTGTATAAATTCCTGGCTTACATTCCTTTGTGATGAGCCAGTGATCTGCAGGGCCTACACAGCAGTGTGCCTGATCCAAGTACTGCTTCTGTTCAAGCTTCTGCTTAGCAGCCCCCCTTTAACAAACTGGGAGTGGGATGTCTGCTACTTCTGTTCACCAAAGGGCTGAGCACTCATGGATTCATGTTCATCTGAGGGCTGAGGTGCCAAAATACACATTTTAACACGGTTTCTTTGTTACCATAGGCATTGCGACTACAGAGAGGTTGTCATGTCTGAAACGTGCAGCATTTTCTTCTACAAACTTTGAAAACATCCTAACTTGGGAAACTGAAGCAGATATCCCTCCTGGCACTGTATTTGATGTCCAGTATAAACAGTATGTGAAGTTTGCTTCTTTTTGGGATTTAGTGGGTTTTATGGCCACTTTTCTCAGAGAGAAGGGCCATGAAAGAAAAGTCAACATTGCCCTTTCTGCTGCTTATTTTGCTGTTACAGGCATGGTTCTGCTTAGACAAGAATTCAGTAAAAGATAGGATTATTTAAACTGGCAGATGGTGCTTAGTTAAGCAATACTTTTACACCTTGACTCCATAACACAGTTTTGCCTTCAGCAACTTCTCTCTGTTCTGCTGTTTCCCAATCTGTAAGTGCCATTAATAGCAATTGCCTTCCTCTGGTTCAGTCACCAGAGCTGCAAGAATTCCACCCTCTACTGCATTATACTTTTGTTGCATTTGTGTAAGTCTGCAAACTCAGCAGCAAATCTGCATGCAGTCATTGGGTAAAAGAGCCCAGCAACTGCTGGCTCGCAGGATGTTCCTGTGTGTGCACCTTGAAACAAGCTGGCCTTCCTCAAAGCAACAGCCACGCAGAAGTGCCAATGGGAATAGATTAAGGGCTGTACTCGGGGGGGGGGGGAGTGTTGATTGCCATTTAATTCCCAGCCACTTGCAAATTACGGTAATGAATTTTAAAACTATTAGAGTCGGCAGAGCAGCCTGTCTGCATTATTCTGAAGGACTATATTGCATCTACTCTACCAAACAACCTGAAAAATTTTTTGTCCTGTCAAAGGTATGGCGAGAAAGCCTGGCTTAACAAGCGGGAGTGCCAGAGCATCACACAGCTCTTCTGCAATCTCACTCGTGAAACAGAGAACTTCACAGAGCATTACTACGCCAGGGTGAGGGCTACTGGCCACCGCTGCTCCTCCAACTGGGTGCGCTCAGAGAGATTTGAGCCCAAAAAAGAAAGTATGTACCACTGCTGGGGATTCATCCTAAGCTGGGGATTCATCCTAAGTCTCACTGATGTTTAGGATCATGTCTCCTCCACTTTCAGTACTGCAAGATTCTGTGCTTGCTAGGGAGGGAGTGAAAGCTTTCCAGGGCTGAAGAGGCGTCCAAGGCCAGGTAGAATGGGGCCCTGGGAAGCTCTATCTTCTTGGGAGCAACCAGCCCATGGCAGGGAGTTGGAAGTGGATAGCCTTTAAGGTTCCCTCCAACCTCAGCCATTCTGTGATTCTATGATTCTATGAAGAAGATTTGCTGGACAAAGCAGCAAACAAGCACACAGGCAGGGCCACCCCTGAGGTCTGGCACCCAGCTACAATTACAGGGGAATGTCATCTTGTCCTTGGAGGAAGAGCTGCTCTTCAGGTGGCAGGGGAGCTTAGTGAGAGAGATGATGGGCACCCTGAGTCCAGGCAGTAATGCAGGCATCAAAGCCACGAGACGTTAACTCCAGCAAACAAGCAGCAAGTCCACTTGATGTCCCGGGTTCCCAACACCCAAGCGGGCTTTACCAAACACACAACAAAGTCTCTGGAAGTTCTCTGGCTGACTCTGTGTCTAAAGTTTTTCCACTGCATGTGTCAAGAACAATTCAAGGATTCAGTAACAGTCAGTGGAAGTGAAGAGCCTTCACATCTTTGCACAAATCAAGCCATGAAGGAGCCATATCATTGCCCTGATCGTTAAACATTCTCTTTCCATTGCAGCATAAGCCTTAACAATCCCAGTTAGGCGATCATACTCCCCAGAGCCATTCTTTTGACTTCCTTAAGCTACGCACCCTTGAAGGAGTACTGAATGCTGCTTTTAAACATCATGTTATAGATTGAGTTACACCTGTGTATAATCAATGGCTATCAAGATGTTACAATCACAGAATAAACAAGAGAGTTAGGCAAAGTAGATTATGATAACAAAGGAGAATAAATGGAAGGCTTACCCTTATGCTGGGCTCACCACAAAACACCAGAAGGAGGGATCTCCAGAAGAAATCCTTCCCCCCCTGGGAGCCAGCTCTTAAATAGGTCTAGGAGGGGTGCAGCCAGGCTCCACCCCTTCCTGCAGCACAGGTGAATTGCCTTCACTGTGCTCCTCTGGCTGACTCATGGCTCGCCTCAGGTGATCAATCAGAGGTTCAGGCCGTGACTCAGTAGTTCCCATACAACCTGTGTTTAAACATTCAGTATTGCCCACACTTTTCACTGCAGATGAGAGTAGATGCACAAGAGCTGAATGGCCCTAAAGACACAATCTGAAGTAGGAACAGGGATTTAAGCAGCAGTGACCTGTGATGTGATCATCTCATCACATGCATGTGAAGGCAAGGGAACCAGTGCACAGTGAGAACTTGGTCCTAAGGAAAAGCCTTGGGAAAGAATTTACAGAGACAAATGTTGGCTGTAGGCAGCAGAAACCTGAGGGAAGACAGTATCTCTCGTCTCCTGATTTTTCCAATGTCCAACAAAGCACAAATCAGAAACTTTTTTGTATGTAAGCAGACATCATCTCTTACAGACTGGGGTGCATGTATAAGATAGATTTAAAACTTGATAACCTATCAGCTTTCATCTAAACAGCTGATGCGTTCTGTTCTGTATTTTCTAGCTATTATTGGAGCACCAGAAGTGGAGTGTATTCCTCATGTACGGTCCATAAAGTTTCTTATACACCCCCCTTATACGCCACTGAGAGGTGAGGATGGCCACCAGCTAACCATAGAGGACATTTATAGCAAGTTCGGTGCTGTTGATTATCACTTAACAATATTCAACCTAAGGACACGTCAAAAGGTAACAGACAACCTCAGGGCATGAGGCATTGACTTTTGTGATCAGATTTTGCGATCAGGTGGAGAAGGGCATCGAAACTGATACACGATGGATACAATTTCTGATTACTGAAATCCCACAGGGGATTTTTCCACGGGGGGAACTCTCAGCCTTTGACATTCAGCGGACAAACAGAACTTTAAGCATTTCTCTGATAATTTCGAAAAGAAGCCAGACTTCAACAGTCTAAGTAGACAAAAGTACCTGACAGAGACTGGAAAAGCAAGGGATGTAGTTCTAATCTCAGTGAATTGAAATGCAAAAACTGAATACAGTAATAGTGAAAAGTAATTGTATGTTTAGAACTGTACAGAATTATTGTTTCCTGTAGCACCTTATTAGTGAATAAAATATGCTGTATTTTGCAGTCTGAGTTCAGGAAATCGTATGTATGTAATCTTTCTGACATACAGACTTTGCTTTTGTTTTAAATAGTGGATAAAGAATGAGCATAACAAAGAACTTGAAGTTTCCAATCTGGACCCAGACACAGAGTATAATGGAACAGTGCATCTATATCTCCTTGAGAGAAGCAGCAAATCTCAAGTATTTTGGGTTAAAACACTACCAGGTGAGGCTGTTAACTCTGCTCAACTAAAAGTCTTTCTGGGATACCAGGTGCACAAAAGAGACCAATTTTTAGCTGGTATAGAATAACACAGCCTTTACAGAGATGTTGAAGCAGTGCTAGTTTAAAATTCTTGTCCAGTGCAACCTATAATCATTTGGGTGATCCCTTGCAACCGTTCTGACACTACATTTTCTCCTTGTTCTTGCCTTCATTGACCAGATAACACATGGCTCTTCTACTGTTTCGTGGCTCTTGGATTCTGTGCTGGGCTGGTGTTTGCTGCTATTGGTTACGTGATCTATAAGTACGTCAAACAACACAGTGCACAACCCATGTCTTTGGTGAGTGTTCTTAAGTCAATACTGCAAATCTTTGAACTGTTCGGGACTTCGTATATTGCTAGCTGGGGAGGATGCATGAGCAGGTGAGGGCATCGTCTAGGTCATGGTGTCCAACCTGTTGGCTTGCCTGGGCTGCACTGAGTGAACAGGAACTGTCTCATACGTACAAAAACATGTATTAGCAGAGGGATCCCACTGTTGCTGCCACCACTGCTAAAATGCAGCAGATGCTGCCTCTCTGTGCTAAATCCTCTGGTGGGTCTCCTTAAATGCTCACAAGTGCCAGTGAATGTCAATGAGCATAGTTTTCCTCCACATGGAGGAATTCAATTCCACCATTTGCTTCATTCACAAGTCAGTGTCAGATGCCATTCTATCAGACTGTCCCTCTGCTGTTGTCTGTCTCAGGGAATGGCATATTGGTGGGAAGGTTCAACCTCTGCCAACCACTGCCATACCACCAACATCCGCCTCTGACATTGGGGGGCTGACATCATAAACCAGGAGGCGTTACTTTAAGAGCAGCTCTCATTAAATATAAAATTATGTATTTAAGTAATACAATTTAACTTTTAATATTTGCATTAAAACGTAAAAAAAGGAGAGCAACAAAACCAAAATTCCTGTGGGAAATGTGACTTCTTTGTTGAGAAACTGACACATCAGTCCCTGGTTTGATGGCAGTGACTACAGTTCTCATGGTGTTCATCAGAGATTTTTGATGAAATTTTACTCCTCCTGCATTTCATCCTTGACAACAATGGTTCACAAATGTGCTTACTGCCAAAAGGCAATGATATGAATAAGGTATGATGGAGAAGTGAGGGGTATTTATCTCTAGTAAAAGAGGGATTATGGACATCTGGCAAAGAGACATGATCAGATTTTTGAGCTGCATATTTGATTGCAACTCTATACGTTCCATTTGGAAATACTCAGTTCATGTGTTTAAGTCAACTGAAAATGGAGTTGCAAGTATAAATTGATACTTTTTTTGGCCATCTTGAAACCTACCCTCAGGTTTCTGTATCACAATGGAAAGCGCATCTGCATATTTTCTGCTGCTTGCAGGGCTGCATTTGGCCTATTATCAGAATGCATGCAATGATTTGCCATCATGTGAGTCAACTGCACTGCGCTTTCCCCACGTCCTGGATTCAGCCCAGACAGTGCTCATCACACATCATTCCTTGTATCAGCATTGCAAATGCCTGGTGGTGGTTGCTGGCTCTTACTGGTGTTTCTCCAAAGAAAATTTCATAGACTCATGGAATTGTTTGAGTTGGAGTTGTTTGAGTTGGAAGGGAACCTTACAGGTCATCTGGTCCAAATCCTCTGTGATGAACGGGGAATTTTTAAGACCCTTAAGCAGATCTTCAAAGTCACAGAGTTCTTGTTGATAACGCGTTTGTCTGTCTCCTTGAATAGGACTTCAGAGGGATCTCATCGTTCCAGCCTCTAACTCTGACAGTGGAACATGTTATAAAGCCTATAAATTTATCCAAACCTTCACTTCTCATCCCCGAAGCACAGTTCCCACAGGTAGGCCAATGTTTGGACAAAGCACTGGAGCCGCCACAACCATTCCATCCATCACTGTGTACCTACCAGCAGCAAGCCAACCTATCGGTGTTCCAGGGCGCCCATCTGCTGTGCCCAGTGAGTGCAGCTCCTACTGGATATGCTCCTCAAACCTCTGAGCAAAGCACTGCCAACCTCCCCATGACCTATGGTGTGTGTGTTGATCGCATAGACCATGGCAACAAGAATAACTTCCGTCTGAACCAGTTGCTAAAGGAAGTTTTGTCAGATAGCTCTGCTGGTGGGAAGCTTGTCAGTCATACGCTGGGTGAAAGCTGCAGCCCTTGGAATTACAAAGAGCAGCGGCCAAATGTGGCACTGTGGGATAGCAGTGCCATGAGAGACTCAGCTCTTGTACATGGGAGCCCTCAGCAAATACAGAAACTGCTGTTGCAGACTGATGGGGTTGAAAGCGAAGAGCATCTGCTACAGCTGCTGCTGCCTTCAGTGGAGCAAGGAGAATGCTACAGACAACAGACAGCAGAACTGCCACTGCTACTGTCTTCAGTGACAGTTAACACAGACTGTGTTCCAGAGGATGAATCTCTGTCACGGCCATCAGCAGCCCACCTCCTCTCAGTCAGCACTGGTAACAACTTCCCTGGAGAGAACACAGAGTGGTGGGTGTCACCAGATTCAGTGTCACATTCTGAAAATAAAATGCAGTTTCAGGAAATTTGGGAAGCAGAGAAGCTACTGGAAGCACAGGAGTTAAACTGCATGAAACTGGACCGTGTCATGTCCCAGGACACCATCTCGGAGTACAGCAGTGGCATTTCTCTCACTACACTGTTCAAAGACCTGAACTTAAAAGTACTGTGGGATCAAGCAGATGAAAACACAGAATTTTATTAAGGAGAGTTAATGATGTTAAAATCCAGGTTCTGTTTGTTTGTATGAAATAGAAGTGTGTCCTGCAAACAGCACATGCAAATAAATGTAGATAGTCTTGTCTTGTATGTAACACAGCACTGACAGTTTCCACTATGGTTCCCTCATAGACATAAGTATCTTACTAATGTAAGTACTTCCTACTGTACTATCATACTGTATCTTTTCACTTAGTACATTTTTAGTCTGTGGGTATTCCTCAGGTTGCTTATGAATTGGACTACTTTAAAGCTGAGTTAAGATTCAAGTTCTAATTCCAGATCCAGTTTCCTGAAAATTTAGCTGAGTTCACAGCAGAAACTGCATCTGCTCTTTACCAGCACCAAACCTCCAGGTCCAAAACAAACCCTCCTCTGAAGAAATTAAAGTGCAGACATATGCAAAGCTGAAAGAATTAAATATAACATACTACAGTGGAAGAAAGAAACAGAAATTGGTGTTCTAGTCTTGCCGTATGTGATTCTTTCAAAACAATTGGCTGCTTTGCAGAATGGACTTTGCCTTCAAAGCAGTCATTGAAACTGAGGCAACAGCTCCTAACGTGGCAGTTCTAAGAAACAGAAAGTGCTCTGCCCTGCTATGTTCTTCAGTTCTTCTAGAAAGATAAAGCCTTTTTCATCTCTACAACAGAATTATGCAGCCTTGTCCAAGTTCTAATGCATATTTTTCAGCTGCTGCTCATTTCTTTCTGATGAAATAGTTACATTCTCTTCTTTTCTTGAGAGCTTGAGGCATAAGGCAGCGAGGCTCACACTCCACATAGGTAGGAACACTGGGATTTGCACTAATCAGGGCTCAGCCCCAGGAACCCTGAATGAATTCTGAGTGCATGACAGCCAGTGACCTCCAGAGGAGAACAGGGAGGTGCTGAGCTGCTTCCTCTCATCCTTTACTACCAATGAAGAATGCACTCCATTGGAATGATGGAGAGGAATCTACAACTGCGGAGCTCTCCTTTGCTCCTGTGACCACCACACCATGTCCAGGGCTGAAATGAACCCAAACCAATTTAAAATGAGAGCCAAGCTCCCTTAGCGCTGCACCTTTACCAAAAGCAAAATGGTATTTATTTGAGGGATGGAGGTAGTAATCATTTTGCACTGAGCAGAGTGTAGTTCAGTCTGTTGGTTTCCACTGATGTAGTGAAAAGTGCAAGTGTCTGATGACCTCAGGTTTACAGGAGAACTGAAACCAGGAAAAAGCAATTTAGAATGGGATGAGGAAGTACTCACTTGAAAAGTAATGCTAGGGAAAGGTTGACCAGAAGCAAAAATCAGATGCTCTCTGAGAAGCTGAGACTAAATGTTAAATTCCACTTTTTTTAATGTGCAATTTTGCAAATAATCTGTGGCTGTATGAAGAGCTTGTGATGATTCAGCCCGGGATTGAAAGAGTAATCTTAGAAATGCCGGACTTTATAGGCAAAAATTCAGCCCCTGGCTCCAGCATTAGTAACAACCAAAGCATTATGGCCACGTCATATGAGATCAAAAGGTTGTCAGAGGCCCGAGGTAATGCTCTGTGCTCCCAGCCCCCCTGGGGAAGCTGCATTTCAAACCAGTGATGCCCACTCCTTTATCCGGAGTTGCCACAGGTGACATATCTTATGTCAACAACATTCCCAAGGATGCTACTCAGGGAGTCATCAAATGCCACAGTGCCAATATTTTGGCTCATGTTGTGGAACACAGTTTTCTGTTCAGAGTCAGTATGGGCAGCACAGAGGGAAAGGGAAAAGAAGAGAAGGGAACTGGGTGGGCTTTAAGGTCCTTTCCGATCTGCCATTCTGTGATTCTTTGTGGTGACCTTATTGCCTTCCACTTAATAGCTTTTCGTAGTAATATCGATAGCCTTGTTTGCTTCAAAATGCATCACAGCCAACAGCTCTGGTAGGATCTAATTATCTCATTCCCATTCCATGTAAGAACACTTTTAGATAAACAGCATGGTTTCAGTGCTGTTTCAAAGGTCATGTCATGCAAGCCATCTGTACCAAACAAGAGTCTGTTCTTTGTTTCTCTTGACTTTCCCAGACAACAGCATTGATAGCTCTAGATAAAGAAAAGCAGCACTGCTTCGCAACAGAGACTGTGCTTATTCCCAGGCAGATGTCATGACGGTGACAAGTGAGCAGTTCCAGTTGTCCCAAGGATGGCAGTGCAGCAGGTGGCAGCTGTAACCCTAGAGCAGAGCATTGCTCTTTGTCTTCTCGGCTAAATCAGGGAGCTGTCAGCGAGCTGCTCCCCGTGCCAGCAGCCCTGCTCCAAGCAACCCGGGGAGCTTTGCGTATCACTGGAGTGAGGCTCACATTCTCCATGTCAGTTGTTTTGGCACAGGAAGGCAAACTAGCTGAAGACACTCGTAATCACAAAGTACTTTTTTGATGCATTCCTTGAGGAAAATCATACTGAAGGAACAAATGGAAAGCTCCTAATTCTGGAGATGGGATGAGGCAGAGTTGAGGGGCAGATCTGAAAGCATTAAGACCAGGTTAGAACAGACTTTATAGCTTCCCTCTGGCATCACTGTGGCCTAAATATCACTGTTCGCAATAGGGAGGAATGATGCAGCAGAGCTGCATGAAAGAACTTGCACAGCAGCTGGGCAGTAGCCTTACACTCACTGGTTCTTAAATCATGGAATGGCTTAGGTTGGAGGAGACCCTCAAGATCATCTCATTCCAACCCCCAGCCATGGGTTAGTTGCCCATGTGGTGCATGTAAATCTTTTTCTTTTCAGAATGAGCGTTTTTATTTTGAGAATGAGCATTTCATTTTCCCCACTGATGACACTAAGAATGACTCCCAGAATCAAGCCTTCATTTACGTGTTATGAGGAACACATAATAGTCACAGCCAGCTGAAACGTAAGAGCTGGTGTTGACCCTGATCTAATAATACATTGACATGATTTGGCTGGGGTTGCCATTCACTAAAGAGACATCAAAATAAATGATTTCAGTCCATTATGCATTAAAGGCAGCATCAAACCAAGGGAAATTCCCAGAAGAGGTTAAAACATTCATAATTACTTTTTGTTCCTCTGTGAGCCTCTATCCTAAAGAAGCAGAGGATAATACATTTAGTTACCCAAATTTTGGAGGCACCTCTCATTCCTTGCATCACTGGCAATGGCAATAATTTGCTTGGTCTAAAAATCAGTTTGCAATTAGTTGTCACTGCAGCAAACGGCTCAGGCAGCCCTGCATGGGTCTCCCCATTGTCACAGCGATGGCATGGCAGGATGCTATATTTAAGACTTGAGGATGGGCACTCCAACATGGGGAACATTCTTTTGGGGAGAGTCATTCTTAGTGTCATGAACAGGGAATAGGAAACGCTCCTTTGTCCTTTCTCTTTCGTGGAGACAGGCACTCTCACTGTAGTCTTCATAGGGTAAGTTGATTTATCTGCAAATAAACTCTGGTTTACAGCAGGATTTTAAATGATTTCATAGCAGCATCTTTGTATGATCCTGTTATTTGCATTGCACCACAGAGATGGGTTGTGCTTTGTGATTGATCTGCTCTGAAGTGTTGTTGCTGTTTTTCCAGTGTTGTTCTTAGGCAACTAGTTTTAATTCATGTTTGCTCACATGTATCTATTTTGCTTCGTTGATTTGTTAAGAAAAATGCACATATTTGGATTCAAAAATGTATCTTTTAACTGCTCAGAACTCTACTGCTTTGCAACAAACACCAGATTATAGAGCACTGGAAAATTACCAGGAAGAAAAACAGAAAGCAGTATATATTAAAAAATAACCTCAGAACAGTAACTGTCTGTGTATGTGGAAGCAAAGATTTGATGCCCTGCAGTCATTTTGTGGCTGAAATAGTCCTGAAGAGAGTCATATTCTGGGAAATAAAAAGATATTTCTTTCTATAAAGATCTGTTTTATTTTCCCGTATTTTGTTTTTGCCAGTGCTTCTTTGATTCTGCCAAAGTCAACATCCGCTGAGGAAATCTGTATTTTCATCTGCATTTGGGGATATTTTGCTCTAACCAGAACAGTGCTTTGCCGTGCTGCTGTGCTTCTCCATGGGCTGGTCTTGCACTAGTTGTTTACTTTGACAGAAAACCAGAATGCTTGTCAGAGATGTGGGGTAGTCATGTTTATTATGAAGTATTAAGAAGAGGTAAAGCAAAAATGCAGTGAAAAATCTGTCAGGAGAAAATTCCAAGAACAGAGTATAAGACAGGAGCAGATTGGCAAGTGTGTTTGGTATCATTCAGCACCATTACATCTCCAAAGAAGCAAAGCAAGAAGAAATGAGTGTTGAGCATTCAGAGTGGTAGCTGAGCCTCGTGCTTTTCCCATGCAGGCAGGCTTACAGGAAAAATTAGAGCTCGGAAAAGAAGAATTCCATTGCTTCAGGTGGCAAAAATCAAAGAAATAACAATCACTGACATTTACTTACTCCTGTATATTTCCGAATCAAAGCCCGACTCCTTTCCGTAATAGTCTACAAGACAAGAAGGAAATGCATTTAGGAAATCTATTCCGGTGTTTATCTTCCCCTCAAATATGTACAATGACACTCAGCAAACTGCTCTTTTCTCTCAAAGCAACTCTTAATGTGACCTTCAAAGTGTCATCAGGCAGTAAAACATCAATTTGCTTAATGACAGAGGTCGTTCCTCATCTGGAGGGCAGAGAGTCTCCCACAGAATTCCTCTTTCAGCAGCTGTGGTTCTTTGGAGGCACTGCCCGCACCACCCAATGTTGCCCCAAGAGCTGTTGGTATCACAGCACAAAATGAGATGATTTGGAGCTGGACTCTAAGAACCAATGCGCTGAAACGGGATGAAACCGAGGTGCTCTCTTACCTCTAAGCCCCAAGAAATGCACATAAAATAAGATATTTTTTCATTTTGGCAATAGCAAAGCTCACTCATAAGCACAAGACAAGTATTGCCTGTAAACAGCTGAAGTGGAAAGAAATGGAAAGGATGAGAGGGGAAGCACAGCCTCATGCTGGGTCCTGTGAGACCTCCATGATGTCTGAAGGCACAGTGAGTTATGCTGCAAGAAGCATGGAGCCCAGAGACCATTACCAATTGCTTTCAGGGAGAAA